AAAAGAGGTTTTGCTTCTCACCCAAGAAGCTTCTTCTGTTCTTGGATGAGAAATGAAACATCTTCAAGGACAAACAAAGTCCAGTTGCTTTTGGAAAAAGCATCTTTGGGACAAAATGCTTTATCTGTGTCTGTTTGAAATCGGAGCAACCCCATAGGAGAAAATGCATGCATTATTGGCTTTTCGTGTTTTGCAACACTTTGCAACCATAAATTGGAACAGATTCGCAATCGGCTCTTGCAAACCCGAGGCGGAATCTGTGTCATACGGGAGAAATGAACCTCTTTTTATTTTTTCCTGCTCATTGCCCTCTGAGCTATTTCAAGGGTGACATTTTTATCCTTTTATGCAAGTTGTCTTTTTTTTTAGCCGCACCACCAAAGAAAATTGGAAACACAAAAGTCTTAAATGACAGATCGGTTTCTTGTTCGTTTGCTGCAGGGAGGGTAGTGCTGCGTCTCGCATATAAAAACAAATATCTGATTTCAGTATAGCTACTCCACGACCTAAGAGTCCAAAGTTTCTGTCGCTAAATGAGACAGTTAAGTGAATTTTGCCCCATTTTAGGACCTTTCTTGCCACAATTATCAAGTGAAGCACTATTTCCATTAATTCTGTTTCTACTATTTCTACTTCAAATTTTTCTATTTCTATTTCATACTTTTCTATTTCTATTATTTCTGTTCAGAAGGACTTGAGGCTCACCTTGCAGAGAAGCAGAAAGAAAATGAAGTTTTGCGAGAGTCCTTGACTCAGGAGCACTTGGCTGTTGAGTGCCTTCAGAAGGACCATGAGCATCTCAAGGAGGAGAATGAGAAGCTGCGCGAACAAGTGGGAAAAGGAGAGGTCAAAAATGAGGGTCTGACCCACGAGATTTATAACGTCAAGAATGAACTGATCAGGTAATTCTTAAATCTCAGAACGGGGCGAGTGAACCTATTGTTTCCCAGAAGTCTCTGGAGATTCTCCATCATTCTAAGTCATGGTTGTCCCAAAGGTGCTGTTTAAAAAGGCAACTGGACTTTCTTGGTTTTTTTCCTTGAAAATCTTTTGCTCCTCATCCAAGAAGAACTGAAGAAGCTTCTTGGATGAGAATCCAAGGAGAACTGAAGGAGCTTTTGGGATGAGAATCCAAGAAGAACTGAAGGAGCTTTTTGGATGAGACTCTGAGAAGAACTGAAGAAGTTTCTTGGATGAGAATCCAAAAAAACCTGAAGGAGCTTTTTGGATGAGACTCTGAGAAGAACTGAAGGAGCTTCTTGGATGAGAATCCAAGAAGAAGCTTCTTGGATGAGAAGTGAAACTTTTTCAAGGAAAAAAAAATCCAGTTGCCTTTGGAAACCCCCTTTGAGTTGTTTTCCAGATGTTGCTAAACAAAAACTATCAACATTGTTCTTCATTGGGTGGGCTGAGAGTCCCACGGGGACATCGACAAGATTCTTCTCCCACAGGGTTAAATGTTACGCACAGGTATGAGAACTAGAGTTAGGACGCAATTGGCGTTGTGGACTTGCATAGACTTGGAAGTCCGAGTTAAATGAAGAACCCCAGCGCCCACTTCCTTTATGGAAAGCCAGTTTCTGGGAGGAAAGGTCTGAAGGAGACTTCTCAGGAGAACAAGGGTGGTGTTAGCAAATGAGATGATGCAGAATTGTAAGCCCACACTGATTAGATTGTTTGGGATCTCCCAGGCTGCAGATGGAGCTGGCCACCAAGCAACACCAACTGTCCGAGAGAGACAAGTTGTTATGCTCATTGAGGGTAGAGCTCAAGGTGTACGAAAAGTTGGACGAAGCTTTCCAGAACGAAAAAGGTAAAGAATCCAGATGCAAATAGGAAGACTGTTGAGTTCTTCTATGGTGGGTTAATTGAGAAGGCAATTCAGGGTTGGCTTTGGCACTTCTTTGAAGACCAAAGGAAGGGAGACAGTTTTGGGCATGCAGGTGTTTATGGACCTTCTCTCTCCATCCTTTGGCTCATCTTCAAGGTTGGGCAATCCCTGTCAATTTAGAGATGTCCATGGGCAAAATCCCATGGGCAAGAGAGCCGTATCGTTGTGGAGGGCCTGACAGCCAGACAGAAGTAGAGATACCGTTGTCCTTAGCCTTTGGTGAAATTTCACAGAAGACCAGGAAACAAGTTCTGGATTTTCCCACGTCCAAAATCAAGCCTGCTCTATAACCCCCAACTATGAACCTATGAACTCTCTACAGAGTTTTTGCAGGAGAAAAAAAAATACTCAAGTTCATGTGAAACTATTAAAGGTAGCCCTTGGACTTGAGCCCGAAATTTCTGTCGCTAAGTGAAACATTTGTTAAAGTGAGTTTTGGCCCATTTTACGATTTCTCTCACCACAGTTTTTTTAAGTGAATCACTGCCGTTAACTTAGTACCACGGGTGTTAAGTGAAATCTGGTTTCCCCTTTGACTTGGCTTGACCGGAAGGTCGCAAAGGGGAGATCACGCAACTCCCGCGACACTGCAACCGTCATAAATACAAGTCAGTTGCCAAGCGTTTGAATTTTGATCTCGTGACCCTGGGGAAGGCTGGAATGGTTGAAGTGAAAAACCGGTCATAAGTCCCTTTTTCCAGTGCCTTTGCAACGTTGAACAGTCACTAAACAAACTCTTGTAAGTCGAGGGCAACTCTTGAGATCCGCAACTTTTAATGCAGGGTGTGTCACTCCATGTTTTGCAATCTCCGGTGAGATGTTCCTAGCTTTTGAAAACTTGCAAGAGGGTATGGGAGGCCATGTTAGTGGCCCCTGGCATGAAGTTTGCTCTTTGCCAGTGTCAGGTTTCCGGCAGTTACCCCCCATTTAAATCATGAGTCTTGAGCCAAACTTCCAAAACTTCAAAAGGATTTATTGGGAGTTAACATGTCTGTCACTGCCTGGGTGTAGCCGACTCTGAGGCACATCATTCATTGTCACCCTTGACCCTGGTTTTCCCCCCACCCCCTGGGTGTATCCTAATTCATATTCTCCAATGGGACACATCCATAGCCCAGAGTCATCAATCATGTTCTCCAGTTAGAATTTTGCATGGCAGAAACTTCAGTCACCTAGTTACTATCTTTGAAAACATTTATGGAATGCGGTTTCGGTTTGCAAGCTGCCCCATTGCTCCCCCTCCCTTTCTGTTGACAACTCTGAAAAGACCATAGAAATATTTTACGAGTTGAAAGTCAGGTTCAAAGAATTTTGAGTTCCTTGATTTGGCCGATCAGATATCCAGGTTTCAAGATAGCTTTGATTTTTAGCCTTGGGTCCCACATCGGCGCTCATAATTAGCACACTTTCTTATTGTTATTTAATCTCGCGCCAGCTTCTCTTTCACCAGGCTCTCAAACGTCCTTCAGAATTTATAAATCTTCACTCCAATCCTTTAATATACATAATTTTTTTTTGCTTTGGGTATGCAACATTAGCTTTTATAGTCAAAGTGAAAAATAATTTTTGGCTCTTATTAAATCTTTGGAGAGTGAAAGCAATTATTAGATAAGGTTATACGTGCATATGTGTGTGTGTGTGTGTGTGCGTTTGTGTGCATGCAGTTTTTTTTGGGGGGGGGGAGGGCTGTAAAATCATCTACCTACTCTTCGAAGCTGGCTCAGATTCTGGATTGTTCAGCAAAATTTTAACAGCTGCTATTTTAATTGTTCATAATAGTAATTATTATTAATTACTATTATGAACAATAGGGGACACGCTGGCTCAGTGGCTAAGATGCTGAGCTTGTCGATCGGAAAGATCGGCAGTCGGCGGTTCAAATCCCTAGCGCCGCGTCACTGAGTGAGCTCCCGTTCCTTGTCCCAGCTTCTGCCAACGTTCGAAAGCATGTGAAAAATGCAAGTAGAAAAATAGGAACCACTTTGGTAGGAAGGTAACAGTGTTCCGTGCACCTTCGTCATTTAGTCATGCTTGTCACGTGACCACGGAGACGTCCTCAGACAGCGCTGGCTCTTCGCCTTTGCAACGGAGATGATGGAGATTGCCCCCTGGAGCCGGAAATGACTAGCACAGATGTGCAAGGGGAACCTTTATCTTTATCTATTAGAAATGTATTTTTCCCCCCCTTAAACTGCCCTCAAAACTATGGACCTCTTTTAGATCGGCGCCAGAATGGAGCAGAAGAATGTCGGAAGGATCAAAACCAACCTCTGGACCTGGGCGAGCTCTTGACTGAAATCCAGTTCTTGAGAAAGCAGCTGGAGCAGAGCATCACATCCAACCAGATGTTGCATGAGAAAGTAGAAGAGCAGCTGCGTCTAGAAAAGGGGGAAAAGAAGAACCGTTTGGGGCCAGCTTTGCAGATCAGCTGTCTGTTCAGTCACGAGTCCCAACAGTTTCAGACTGGGATCAAAGGTAGGGAAAAGCGGCATTCAGGCATCCATAAAGGAGAACATCTATAGGTCAGGGTTGAAATGGGTGGGGGGTCCTTGATGCTCTCTGAACTTGGTTGTTTTGGCCATCATCTGACACCTAAGCCACCACTCTTAGGGGTTGGGGAAGAGGCATCACTCATAAATCCATCCTAGAGATTATAGATTAACAAGCGTTGGAAGGAACCTTGTAGGTCATCTAGTCCAACCCCTCTTCCAAGCAGGAAACCCTACACCATTTCTGACAGATGGCAGTCCAGTTTCTTCTTGAAAGCCTCCAGTGATGAAGCTCCCACAGTCTCTGAAGGCAACTTCTGTTCCATGGGTTGATTGTTCTCACTGTTAGAAAGTTCCTCCTTATTTCTAGGTTGAATCTCTCCTTGGTCAGTTTCCATCCATTATTCTTTGTCTGGCCTTCAGGGGCTTTGGGAAGTAGCTTGACCCCTTCCTCTGTAGCAGCCCCTCCAATATTGGAAGACTGATATCATGTCCCTCCTGGTCCTTCTCCTCACTAGACTAGCCAGGCCCAGTTCCTGCATCCGGTCATTGTATGTTTCAGCCTCCAGTGCTCTTAAGTTTCTTGGTTGTTCTTCTCGGCACTCTTTCTAGAGTCTCAACCTGTTTTTTATAATGTGGTGACCAAAACTGAATGCAGTACTCTCTAGGTGTGGCCTTAGTAAGGTTTTATAGAGTGGTATTAGTACCTCCTTTGATCTTGATTGTATCCCTCTGTTAATGCAATTTAGGATTGCATTGGCTTTTTTGGCTCCCGACGCGCACTGTTGGCTCATATTTAATTGGTTATCCACAAAGTTGGTTGTTCTCAAAGATCTCCATATATATTCTCAGCATTCCTTTTTCCCCTTCCCTCACTTCAGTTTATTGGCAGGTTGAGAGCGTTAGGACTGTTAGCTCAGGAGTTCTGGGAGTTGAAGTCCACAAGTCTTAAACTTGCCAAGTTTGAAGATCCTTGAATTGGATAGATAGATAGATAGGATTGGATGGATGGATGGATGGATGGATGGATGGATAGATAGATAGATAGATAGATAGATAGATAGATAGATAGACAGACAGACAGACAGACAGACAGACAGACAGACAGACAGACAGACAGATGTACCCTAGATAGATAGAGAGAGAGGGAGTGGGAGATAGAAGATAGATATTGTAGATCAGGGGTCTTCAAACGTGACAGCTTTAAGACTTGTGGGCTTCCACTCCCAGAATTCCTCCTCCAGTCATGTTAGCTCAGGAATTCTGGGAATGGAAGTCCACAAGTCTTAAACCTGCCAAGTTTGAAGACCCTTGGCTTGGTCCTTCAGACTTTTGAGAATGGCTCCTTCGATTGGATTCTTGACGAATGTCTCTTTTCTTTTTATGTACACTGAGAGCATATGCACCAAGACAAATTCCTTGTGTGTCTAATCATACTTGGCCAATAAAGCATTCATTCATTCATTCATTCATTCATTCATTCATTCATTCATTCATTCATTCATTCATTCTTTGGCAGGAGGTGTCTCAGAAACCTCCCAAGCCTTCCTGAGATATCTCCTCCCATGGAATCCAATCTAAGGAGCCATTTTCAAAATTCTGAAGGAGCAAGTTGGTGGCCGGGAAGCCCAGCTTGTATGCTTTTAAAGACCAGACAGTTAAACCCAGTTTCTATAAACTTTTATCTTGACCGAATAGCTCATTTAAGAAAAGCGTGTTGGCTGCACATTCCTTAGAAATGATCAATATGTTCTTTGGATGGCCTGTGAATGAATCAGTCCAATTTATGTGGCGCCCTGGGGGAGCATTCTCCCTACTCCCCCAATACCACCCTCCTCCACTGCTGTTAAATCAAAGTTTCTAACCACTTAAAGCTTAGGGGAAGACAGAAGCATCTGTATGCCATACAAATTTGAACGGGGAAGGGAACATCTACTGCCACAGAACATGACAGATGACCCTTAGCTCACAAGGCTTACCAAATAAATATTCCCACGTTGACGGCTGGCTTCATCTGGTACTTTTGACCTTGTTGAGCCGAGCTGGGGGAAAATATATATATATCTGGATGAATCGAGACATCTTGAAACAATGCAAAAATAGGCGTGTGTGTCTCAGAACCATTAACTCCAAGGGGATTAGGAAACGAGGAGAAAGCTAGGTGAGGCTTTGGTCTCTGTAATGGAGCTACCCAGGTTGCACTTCTTTCTTTTTTCTTTTTGAATATATTTTTTAATATTTTTTTATTGTTTACAACTATAAGCATCAAGTCTCCTACTTGGGCAGCGGGCTGGACTGGAAGACCTCCAAGGTCCCTTCCAACTCTTATTATTCTGTTCATGTCATCCAGTTCTTTAGAAGCAGAGGAGCTATGTTGTTTTCAACTGCCCAGAGGAGTAGAGAAAATGTATGGGCTGTGGGATAACAATCTAGGAATGAGTAAAGTCTTCACTTCTCCATAGACTCAATGGAGGGAGTCCCCAACCTTTTCTACACCCCACACCCCTAAAACTCTTCTGATATATTCTCGTACCCTTTACAAAAGATAATAATTTATGCGTATAATTATGCATGTACACTATAATTTTGAAACTTCTAAGTTTTTGTACCCCTGGAATATCGTCTTGCACCCCAACCCCCCCCCCAGTTGGGAACCCCTGCTGTAGAGGAAGACTTTTGACGATCACCCGTACATGTCGCTCAGACGGTTGGCCGCTAACCCAATGTCCTCTTCCATACCTCCGCTTGCAGAGTTGAGTTTCAGCACCTTGGACAGCCCCTCCCATTGCAACCTGTTGACCAACAAGGAGATTCGCCCCCTCCCCAGTCACTGCGTCTGGGCGGACAAGAACGGCCAACATATCCTCGGCTTGATCGAAGATTACAACTGTCTCCGGAAGCAGATCACGGAAGGGCGGAAGCAACTGGGCAAACTGGAGCTTCCCCTGAAAGAGGCAGAAGGTCTGGATTCTGCAGTGACGGTGAGTGGCGTAGCCGAGAAGCTGAATGGCTGGGAATACTATGGCACCACAGACTTCTCTAGAAGAGTTGAGGATGGAGCGGAAGGCACCAGGGGGTCCGTGGGATTTTTCCATAATTGAGAGGAAGGGTAAAATAAGC